CCCCAAAACCCCAAAACCCCAAAACCCCAAAATATATGAAAATTATTGAAAATCTTGTACAATGGCAGATAATATGCTTCTTGGTTCACCTCGATATAATCTTGAGTTACCAAAGGAGGATCCTAAGGAACCAGGCAGCATCATTTTGGAGAAGTTCAAGATGAAAGCAACTCCAATTAGAGCATTTCTTTCCAAACGTACCACTGGTTTTTCGAGATACTTCCGTAATGATGCTATCAAACGTCTTGATTTTAATGAGAATGCCACCAATCTTCAGTATAGTCAGAAGAAACCTAAAGGAATTAATTTGACATTTTACTCCCCTAATTTATCTCTGAATAACCCTCTGAGTGCTAATAATACCTAAAAAGGAGTAAGTATAGGCATGATAATAAGAATAAAAATGCTATTTACATTTTCGCTTCCTCAGTTGCCCTTTGATAGATTTTATCTGTGACTGAGCCAATACAAAATTTGCTAAAAAATTGATTCAAATTTAAACCACAGACTAAAATTTTGGCAATTTATTCTGATATAAAACATAATGAATAGATTTGACAAGAAGATTGCAAAAAGAAGTTGCTGTTTTGAACTCAGAGGAGCTTGTAAAAGCAGAGATAGCTCCTTACTTGGACATAACTCGAGATCATATGACAGAAGTTTTGGGTAAGCAAGTTTAACCAGAACAAATTATTGCCTTGATTCTCAAATCCAGTAACAACAACAATTTTATAATTTAGAAGTTATATTCGTTGCTAATGTTATATTTAGAAACTTTGAGAATAAACAAGAGAAAATCGGTTTTTGTTCAAATTCTAAAAAAAGAGTAAACCTGAAAAACTTCCATAAAACAATGGGTCAGGTCTTTAAACTCAACCGTAACAAAGGTACTCACTAGCTGATTAAATATAGGCAAGAGAAGATTGAGTTACATGAAGGTTAAAGGTCGCCGTATTAGAGTAAGAGATATGAAAGACACGAAAAACAGGAAGAAACGGGCTAAGATAAACTCTACATGTATCCAAAGGAGTAACTTCAATAGATCTATGCTTTTTACAAACCAGGCCGTGCAGGATATACTATCTCGGAAGCAACCATCCTACCCTCAGAGCAGAAGGAAAGAGAACACTACAGATTTGATTCATTGATCATATAACAACTACTTAAGCGGTAACCTTCAGCAAGATTCTGTGAAAAATTATAAGAAGACTATCTTCAGGCGGGTGAAGAAATTCTCTCCCTAATGAAGCATGCTCCATTCTTGCTGTGCCATAATATACATATTTATCGAACTCTGGTTTGATAATATAACCTTAGTAAATTCCAACCATTTTGGAATATAAGGGGTTTTGGGGTTTTGGGGTTTTGGGGTTTTGGGG